GGGGGAGAAAAAAACTCTCCTTCATGGCGATTCAACATGCCTCACGTTATCGAAATCGAGATGAAATACAACCTACTTCCCCTGGGCAGCTCACCCTCGTTTTTCACAACTATATGGTATACAGTGTACTTTGGTACACGTTTGGGTTTGGCTGATAGGTGCTCTCGTATCGTCTGTTCTTTCTACTTCCTTTCAGAGAGACGATTTTCAAAAGTATGTGATGAATTGTAAATGGTTTATACTACCATCGACACTTTTTAATGTCATCAGTATCCTCATCTGTTAAACTGTCACAGCATCTGCCCTGAGTCGCGACAAATACAATCCATCACACACGCGCGTTCGAAAAGCCAAGTACGGTGAGTAGACCATGTACGTATTAACAGATGCGTTTCCACTATTCGTCAGAGACTTTACATACACACGCATGCACATACAAACTCACACACACACACACGTTATTATAAACAAAAAAAAAAAAAGAAAAGAAAAACCAGGTTTCGCCATTGTTACACTTTCTGACAAAACAGCGCGTGTGCACACGTCCCTGATAAGGGATCAATGTTGAAAAGACGTATGTCCAGAATATGTACAAAAGTGCACTAGGGGTACAAGCGATCCATTGACTTGTGAAAGTGAAAGGAGTAGATAAGTCCAAGGGAAAATAATATCATGGTATGTGGGGCAACGTGGTGAAATCAGGCGCTCGTCAAAATAATTCGAGACAAACAAAAAAAAACTCACTACATTTCTTTGCCTCACCGGCTATTGTTATTGTTTGTTGTTGGTGTTTTTTGTATCAGCCCATTTCAAAAAATTTTAAAAACATGTTTCTATATGGATGAAAAAATAAAAAAATTTTAAAAATCGAAATCTACAAATTTCAACATAAGTTAAGGACCACGACTTGTAAATTTGGCTAAAATCCCCCGAGGATTTCTGTGCTGCACGTGGTGGTTTCGTCCCTTTAAGAAGCTTTGTCGTACGCATTGTTAATCCATTAACACTTTCAGAGCAAAACATTTTGAAATAGTCCTAGCCGTCTTTTTTTTTTAAATCAGGGCTACTGGTCAAGGTGATCCTTAACTTATGTTGAAGTCTGTAGTTGAAAGGCGCTGAAAATGAATATTTGTAGTTTCCATGGACACTAAAGCTTTGGAAGTCATCAACATTTGGGACAGTTTTGTTGTGCTAATACTTCCCCAAATAACCTTCTCCAACTTTAAATATCTCGATTTCTATTAATGATAGATTGGTATTTTAAAATGGAAATCAAGACAAATGAACAGGCTTTTAGATGGTAACAAATTATAACTTGATGTTCCCAAAAGTTGACGAGCGCATGCTTACACGGCGTCGGGACACCTGTATTTGTCTTTGCTCATGAATTGGGAAAGTTTGTGACAAGAGAACAGAGCACACTATCATTATGCCGACAAGTATTTTTCGCTGTTGTCGCCTCACACAATTTGATTGACGAGTAACAGGTAAATTATTGGGAAGTAGATCTCATCGTAATTGGGCAATCTATTCAGAGGAAAAGCCGACAGGATGGTGCGTGCCAGTGTGAACAGAATTGTCTTTGAACTTAACTTGAAGGTCTGTTTAAGAACTGTTTTTAGAAATAAGGAAGACAAGACACGAATAAATTCAGTTCGAAGGGAGAAAACAATGAGAAAAAATCTATGCGCTAAGAAATATGTTAAAACAAAGAGAAAAGGAGTCAGAGGTCGCATCCAGTGGATGTTGGAAGGGTATATATTATAGTGTCAGATTCACGACTAGACGTACATAGCCAACAGGTTCTGAACTCCCAAAGACAGAAGACACACGGAGAAGAAGGACAGCCTTGAGGGTGAGCAAACTTTCATAACAGGTTTCTGATCTTTACCACGACATTAGACGAACCTGTACTTTAGTTACGACCCCTTCATCAAAAGAACAGACCCAGGTTTAGAACCTCCCTTCGATAGGACTCAACTGAGTGACTGGAAAGCCATGAATATTTTGAAACAACCCACGTTTAAGAAAGCTACTCTGTTATTCCCTCAGCACTGAAAGATTTAAGCATTCTGCGTCTGGCTTTCGTGATTAGTCCTTGTATAGGTTTAATGCTACGTTTTAATAGTTAAATAGTATAGATTGTGAAGCGCATAGAGCTTGCTGTTGAGCGGGGATTTGTGCTATACAAATGCTATCTATTATTATTATCTATTTTCACTTGAAACTCTGTCAATATATCTAAGAGGCATGACTTCCTAGCTTAATGTCCATCTTCGATACGACTAAGAGCAAAATGATACAGTTCGTATAAAGTGTTTTTCCAAAGGACAAAATACCGAATAAGGAAAAAACTCATCACTACAAGTCGGGCATTCTAAATATTAGCCACTAGACTGACAAAGCCATTAGATTGACTAAAAGAAATTAAACCGTACCGAACAATTAAATTATGTCCTGTTTTGAGAACTGTGTCACATGTGATATAACTGTACCCTTTATTTTCTCCCAGAAAACCTGACTCCTTCTAGTAGTGTCCCGCGCACCGACAGACCATGGTGTTGCTTGATCAAGGCAGGGCGCTGGTCGTCCTCGTGTTCTCTTGCCTGCTGCTCCAGGCTGCCCGGGCAGAGGTGTACAACCACCACTCACACGAGGTCTACGCCGACAACAGCCACAGCCACAGCCACAGCCACAGCCACAAAAACGAGCACCACCACTATCAGCACGGCCCACCACCGGGCAGTACCAGCAGTGGTGGAGGGATAGGACTCACCTCCCTCCTCCTCTTCCTTCCTTTCATCATGCAACTGTTTGGAGGAGGAGCTGCCGCCGCCCCCGCCGCCGCCGCCCCCGCCCCCGCCCCCGCTCCCCCAGGTTAACGTCACAACTACGTCATCACTCGCCGTTATACGAGTGACCAGTCTGGACTCACTACATTGCTTTCTTTAACCCTATCCGTACGTCATGTTTTACTATCGTATCCATACGACGTGGGGAACTCTGTGCCAACACTTTCCAAAGAGGAAATTTACTCGTTAATCCAATCCGTACGCTTTGCTCAGCAGTCTGTCAAAATGATTTTTTGAGAAGCACTGAAAGTTTCAAAGAGATTTTCGCACTAGAAGTATTTTAAAAAGTGAAGAATACAACCCCGGAGTACAAAATGACCCCAGGGCGTACGGATCAGGTTAAACACCTGGAATGGCATGATAATGTTGCTTGTTGTTATTGTTGAGCTTTTCTAAGGGTGTATAAGATTGATACGACAGTTTGCCCTTTGAGGATATGGAGATATGTATGTGTATGGAATATGAGTGAAAGAAATAATAAAACTTTTGTTGACAAAAAATATGTTGTTGATATGTTCATAATTCTACTTTGTAACTGTTTGTTTGCTTTTTTTAATGAAAAGGAACCTATCAACATTTAAACGTCTACTAAACAGGTGGATAAAGTAAAACAGACTGGCATAAACACCACGCAGGGTGTATATAAAAGAGGACCTCTTTGAACGTTAATTAATTAAATCACTCCGCTGGCGCTCATATGACCTTATTATGCAGTTGCGAGCGCCGTAAAACCATCTACTATAAAAAAAATCACTCCGTTACTAGTACACGAATTTTAACAAAACGTAGAACAGCTATAATCCAACAAGGGGAATATCAAGCTTGTAAATATGAAGAAAATCTACCTTTGTTATCGAGAAATATCTATGGGTTTTTTTAAGCAACAAAAGCTGTGTCATACCCAAAATTCCAGTGCCTTAAGCATTCAGCTACTGTTGAGTGATTGACTGACCCGATTTCAGGGAAAAGACGGTAAAACCACAACAGTCTCATCAGATAGATATCTCACCATGCTGAGAAAGTTAGGAAAGAGTTTGGGGAGGATGTTAATTCTGTAGACGTCTTGTCCAAGTGGGATGGGTCCACACTCCAAATGTCTAAAGTGGCCCTTGTGTGGTTGCTAGAAAGGTTAGGGGAACACTTTATTAATTGGAAATTTTACCCCAAAAATGCTCACCACATTGTCTCCAAACTTGAGCCCTTTTTTCATTAACTTTGAGATTTTGTTTTTGCCAGACAAGAGTCAATGGCAACAAGCTACAAACGATCGCACAGTTGAAACTCAAATGTTGAACAGGATGTCCAAATATTCCAAAACATGCCACTGGGTCATTCAAAATTTCCAGGGGCGTATTGAAGCTTGTGTGACATAAAATGAAATTATTAAGATAGAAGATATCATACCAGCGTTCATCAAAACATCTTTAGAGCGGAACAGAACTTTGTGCATCCTCTGATAAAAATTTCGACACAAAAATATCGACATTGATTAATCTTTTCTGACGGCAAGAATTGATCAGTTTTGAATCCCAATTGTCTAATGTGGTTAGTTGCCATTTGCATGAAATTTGGGATCTTGGCTTCGCTCCCATACGTTTGGCATGGGAGATTGGGGTGGGGTGGGGGAGGGGTGATGGGTGAGAGATAATCGGTGAGTCAGAACAGGTTAGCTCAGTTGGTGTCTTATTGGGCGACGGAGCTGCAGGACTGACATGATTCGAATCATTGGGTTTCTGCTTTGAGTGTTTTCAAGGGGGCTACACCTTTTTGGTAAACCTACTACAGGAAAGTGTCAGGGCACAAGGCAAGAGGAAGACCAAGAAAGACCTGGATCCAGGGTGTGAAGGATACCCTGAGAACATACAATACCCCACCAAGCCAGGCCATCAAACTTGCTAGAGACAGGAAGCTCTTTCTCCCCTCGACGCCCTAGAGGTACAAGAGGACGGAGAGAGTAAAGTAAAGTAAGACACCTTCTTGGTCCTGTGACATCGGACTTGAGCATTAAATTATCAACTCTTCAAAAACACGACACGATTGGAAGAAGTGTAAAAACCATACGATGAAAGAAGTAACACCTCTGCACTTACTTTAAAAGATTGTAATCATTATCATTATGTGTTTATGTGTACATGTGTGAGGCAGAGATAATGTGTGAGAGAATATTTGTGTATGGGTGTGCACGTACGCGTGCATGCGTGCGTGCGTGCGTGCGTGTGTGTGTGTGTGTGTGTGTGTGTGTGTGTGTGTAAGTGTGTGTGTGTGTGTGTGTGTGTGTGTGTGTTATTGTGTGTGTGTGTGTGTGTGAGTAAGTGAGTGTGTGTACATGCGTTTGTGTGTATATGCGGTTGCATTTTTGTGTGTTTTTATGGTTTGTGTGTGTGATTGTGTGTTTGTTTGATTGTGTGTGTGTGTGTGTGTGTGTGTGTGTGTGTGTGTGTGTGTGTGTAAGTGAGTTTGTGTGCATGTGTTTTTGTGTGTATGTGGTTTTATTTGTGTGTGTTTCATTGTTTGTGTATGTGTGTGTGTATGTGTGTGTGTGTGTGTGTGTGTGTGTGTGTGTGTGTGTGTGTGTGTGTGTGTGTGTGTGTGTGCTGATGAAACCAAATTATTATGTTAGCGTTTGGACATTAAATATTTCTTTTATCTTACCTTATCAAAATGAGAAGACGTCTTATTTTCAAAGTGTAACGGCCTTGAAGATAACGCAGCTACCATCATCCTGTAATAGATAGTGCTCAGAGGACCGTGGTTCGATTCCACATTGCGGCCTTTTTGAACCGTCATGCCCGTCTACACAGCTGGCTCAGTCGTATCGGCAATGGACTTCCAAAATTTTGAACGTCATATCCTTTATACAATCTGACAGTATTTATATATATATATAAGCCAATACCATTAATTCATTTTCCATTTCAGTTATTAAAAAAACAAAACATTTTTTTTTAATCCGACGGAAAACAACGTTGTTTGCGAAGCTGCTTTTAGCAAAAAAGACGTCATGAAAAAATAAAATGACAGAAACGAATCCAAACTTCATCTACATAATGTTATTTTGTCTTCTTGATATGTTGTTATATGTCTTGTGTTTATCTGTTCTTGCCTTCTTGTTGTTGTTGTTGTTGTTTTTGTTGTCACTGTTGCTGTTGTTGTTGTTGTTGTTGTTGTTGTTGTTGTTGTTGTTGTTGTTGTTGTTGTTGTTGTTGTTGTTGTTGTTCTTCTTCTTCTTCTTCTTCTTCTTCTTCTTCTTCTTCTTCTTCTTCTTCTTCTTCTTCTTCTTCTTCTTCTTCTCTCTCTCTCTCTTGTTCTTCTTTACTGCACTTTTCCTTTTCAGTGCAGAGTTGATCAGGAGGAGTGAGGTAACGTAGAAATTGAATTCTTGTATAATTGATTGTTTCTCACTGTCAGAAGCAGACAAATTGATCACTCTATCAAAACGCCATCAATTTCTAGAGCTTTTCTCCTTACTCTTGTCAGACTTTTAATTTTGTTTCCTTTGAGGATGTGAAAAACTTGCCAACGTGTGAGAGAATTGAGAACGTCTTGAGACGGAGAAGGAAGTGGAAGAAATCTGTAATTTCAGATGTTGTTTTTGGTAAAAGAAACACTTGCATACATTGTTTTAAAATGTTTTTTTAGAAAAAATACTGGAGAGATTGATAGAATGAGATAGATGGATAGAGAGATAGACAGAGAGGGAGAAAAAGAGAGAGGGAGAGAAAGATCTCAGAGGGAGAGAGGGTGGGGGGGATTAAAGGAATGGTGAGCAAGGGAATTAGAGGGAGAAGGATGGAAAGAGAAACAGAGAGACAGAGAATGGGAAGTGACAGAAACAACGCTAAAGAGTTAGAGAAGCAGAAAGAGAGAGAGAGAGAGAGAGAGAGAGAGAGAGAGAGAGAGAGAGAGAGAGAGAGGTCAGATTACTTAGGTTGACAGTGCCTTTGTTTGTGAGAGGACCTCTGACAGCTCTCGCCTCTTTTATTTAAAACTGTCTTTCTTTCCCTTTTCCTATCGCTAAAAGACCACAATTATTCTATTGATATACATCTTTTTGCTCAAACAAAGAAATAATAAACGAGAGATGAACTAACAAAATCTTTTTGCTTTAGTAGAGTTTTACGGCGCTCGCAACAGCATATTACAGCCATCTGAGCGCCAAGGGGTGGATGTCAACAGAGAAGTCCTTAAAGGGAATCAGGCTTACTCTGCTCACCTCTCTAGCTTCAACAGCACAAAGTCTGCTTCGACTATCAAGTCGGAAACAGCGGGTCACAAGAGTGTGATAAACATGCAAAAGAAATAGAGGGAAAATTAACGTAGTAAGGATTAGGAGGGGAACAAAAACAACAGACAAAATCTGGGACTGTCGAAGTGAATGTCGTGATAAACAAGAACACAGAAGACCAGATGTCCCTTAATATTTTACATACCGGTGAAAGCAGTCCATGACAACAATATTATAATGAAGTTTTTCGAGTTTTAAAACCCTTTATTTTATCAGTAAGTGTTTTACGCCACTTACAACACATTTAAGTCGTGCAAATGTCGATGATCTGAGGTTTCACAAGAGTGAAGCAAACATTAAGACAAAATAGAGAGGAGAGATAAAGATGAAATTATAATTATGTTTGATTGGATGGAAGAAGCAAACCACACCAGAGCACCTGCCAACCACGAACTTGCCCCCTTTAGAAGGTTACAATTTTCGTACCCCCCCCCCCCCTCTTTTTTCACATATTTCCATGCGGGGACCAAAACTGGTCACTTTTAAGCATAAGTGGGCTATCCCGAAAAATGCTGTTTTGAGAAACTCGAAGGTAAAATTTGTGCCCCTAGGAGAGTTTTCTCTATAACCAAATAAATATACACAACAACGAAACCAAACTCCTCCTATAGGAAGGGCAATGCCCACTTTTGGTGTAGGTCAAGATTTCTGGAAACCCCCGAAATCAGGGTTAGCCCGCTTGTCCTTAAAAGCGACAAACTACTATCTGAGACTACCCAGGTGACCCCAGCACTCACCAAAATGACCTAATGGCCAATTAATAATAATAATAATAATAATAATAATAATAATAATAATAATAATAATAACAATAATAATAATGATAATAATAATAATAATAATAATTGCATTTATATAGCGCATGTCCATGCTCAAGAGCATGCTCTAAGCGCTTTACAACTATTATTACCCCAGCAGACCCTCTGAGAACACCCAG